GTGCAGTCCCTTCTCTCTGCCCCCAGAATAAGCTGTGAGCTCTCCAGTTTGTTGAATGACACACTTAAGGCCACATCTCTCAAGGTCAAAATTAATTACCAAGGACAGGACAGGTCTAAATCTATGATGAGGATGGAGCTACTGATTCCTTTGTGATTAGCCATTGTGCCTTCCTTTTCCTTGTTGTGTGTAAATCATGTGATGTGCTGGGGTGTAGTACCCATCAGTGACCCCTGCCTAATGTCACCCAGAGGACCCCAGAGTTAGCTCTTCTGACCAGGACATTCTGAAATCTCATCATGGGATTTTGTTTTCCTCATCTTCAGGGAAGACAGGGAGTGGAAAATGGCTAAAAGATGCTTAACTCAGTGCTTGGCACACATATTGCCCAATTATGGTAGCCGGGAGCACCAGGAAATGAGTTTCCAAGCAGATAATTCAAGAGAGGCTACAGATAGAATTGTCTGTGTTACTCCTCTTAGTCATAGGAAGCTGGTCTGTAATAGGGGAGGGGAAGTGGACACTTAGTGGACACTCTTGCCTCTCATGTCTCCTGAAAACCCTATGCAGCAGACAATTATTATCAATTTGCTGGCAGCAGAGCCAAGGCCTAGGAAGGTGATGAGCTCTACCCAAGTGCACATGGTGTACCTATTATTTTTTTTGTTGCTTTTTTGTTTTTTGGGGGGTTTTTTGGTGCTGAGGATCGAACTCGGGTCCTTGTGCTTACGAAGCAGGCGGCAGAACCACTGAGCTAAATCCCCGGCCCCGGTGTACCTATTATTGAAAGACTCCAAAGCCAAGTGCTCAGCTTCTGTGAGAGCCACAGCAACATGGCCCACAAGAAGGTTCAGAGTGGCTCACAGGGCAGGCCTGCACCAGCATCAGAAAGGTAACCTGTGCCCCTTCCAGAACCCATGCCTCCTCTCTTCCTTTTACCCACTAGCACAGACCCATACCATTAAGGAAGTCTTATGGCATTTCCCAAGAATAGTGCTTCTGGTGAGGAAGTGAACTTGCAACCAACTTTGGAGGAAAAAAAAGGACCCTTCAGTTTGCACCCATGTACTGGACTAGGTACTAGGACTACTAACACAGGTGAGCCACAGAATAAACAGCCTGGCGGGGGCCAGCATCGAGGCACACTGTTCTCCTGCTATGCAGTATATGTGGTCCTAGCTGGCTTAGGGAGCACCAAAGAGAGCAGCCAGCCCTGGGAGAGCCGGGAGAGGCTTACCAGAGAGACAACTGAGCTGGGTATTGAAGAGTCAGTAGAAGTTCACTGGAATTCATTGAATGTATCACAGTGGAGCATAGAGGGGAGGAGAGGGAAAGTGAACTCACATTTTAGGCTGCTGGCTGCTGGGCACCTCATACATCTTATTTTGTTGAATTTTCACAGTGCCTTCTGGAGGTATTATTACAGTATGACCTTACAAATGAGTAAACTGAGGCTGAAATCTTAAATGAATTTTCGAAGACTCTTTGGGCAGGTCAGAAAGGTCAAAACTACCTTCATAAGGATACTAAGAGCTATATGCCTTTTTCACTGTATTGACATTTTCACTGCTGGCCCCAGAGCTATGGAGGGTAAAACCATGGGCACCTTGACACCAGTCAAGCCCTTGGCAACAAAATGTAGCAGTTGTATTCTTTAATGGAATGTACTCACATTTAAAAAAAAAAAATCTAGCTTCACATAAGAATGTCCTTGATGAAGCAGAAAAATTGTTAATTTTAATCCTCTAGTACATATGTTGTGGGAACGAACACAGAATATTTCTGCTGTACACTGAAAAATGGAGGTTTTCAAAAGGAAAAACATTTGCATAACTGCTTGAGCTACAAGCTGAAGTAGCCACAGGTTGGTTGGTTGTTTTTTTCATGGAATTCTATTTTACTGGAAGAATGACTGACGAATTGTGGTTATTCAGATATGAGCATTTGGCTGATTTTTCTTTTTCTCTTTCCCTTCTTTCCCCCTTCCCTTCCTCTCCCTCCTTCCCTTCCTTCTGCCTTCCTTCCCCTTCTTCTTTCTTTGCTTTTTTATGGTATTAAGGATCAAATCCAGGGCCTCGTGGATGCTAAGCAAGTTCAATAACTTCACCCCCAAGTATTTTCTTGAAAATGAAAAAGTGGCCTGTTACTTCAAGGAAAATAGCTAATATTTATAACTTGTTTCTTTTGAGGACAAAATTGGAATTTTAGAAAACTTATCTCTTCCAGCTTCCCAGATTATAGATTTTTTGATGAGATTGGTAGTGATATTAATAAATGTGATTTTTCGTAATGTCTAATGAAATGTTTCAACATTTGAAAAATCTGTGTAACTCGTTGAATAAAAACTTTCCAAATGACCAACACACTGCAAATGTTACAGAAATACAAATGGGTAAAAGATCCATTGAAAATACAAGATAGAATAAGTAATTCTAATATAACAGAGTACAAAATGCTCATTGACCTAGATTTCACATTGTAACTTACCTTTAAGAAGTTTAAGAATTATGACTTATTGAGATGTTTTTTTTCTTTTTCATACCGGGGATCAAACTCGGGTCCTTGCGCTTGAGCAGCAGGCGGCAAAACCACTGAGCTAAATCCCCGGCCCGACTTATTGAGTTTTAGTGTGGTTTTGAAGGATATTCACAATTACCTGAAAGTTCATTAAAACATGCACATCTTTCTAATGACATATCTGGCTGGACTTTATTTGTGGATAGCAACCAAGATGAGATATGTCAATAGATTGAATGTAGAAGTAGATACAATAATCCAGCCAAGCATTAAAAAGACTTGCAAAATGGAAAGCAGTATCACTTTTTTTCTTTTCCTTTTGTTTTGGAAGATAGAGTTATTTTTTGTAGAAATATATCATTTATGTTAATATGTATAGGGCTTCTTGTCATTATTTTAAATCAATTACTAAATTAATATTTAAAATGCCTCAGTTTTAATGTCTAATGTGGTACAATTTGATAGACACAAGTGACCTAAATAAAAGCTCCATAAGGGCACACTAATTGTGAAGAGTGATATCCTGGGACCAAAGAGTTGGAGAAATACTCTCTCAGGAATCACAGAAAAGGAGCAATCCATAGTGATCTATATCATTCCAGAGATCACTGTCTTTCCTACACCATGATTTTCAACCAGGAGGAAGTGGGGTGGGGGCTCACCCTCTCCCACTGAGGGAGGTTTATCAGAATTTCTAGAGGAATGCAAGTAAGCAGAACAACTGCTTTCAAAATAGTTGCCTTAGAATCTACCAAGTCCTCCCCCTTCTCATCTCCTCCAAATCCTTCCAGATCCCTTCCCATATCCTTGACCTCTCTCTTCTTCCTGCTCAGAACCAGGTGGGTAGGGGGTGATCTCGCAGGAGGCTGCACTCATCAGGCTGAATAAGCACCAACAATGCTCTGCTTTGAAGGAGCTGGTGTTCCTGGAGAAGTTTCCAGAGATGTCAGGACTTTCCCATGCAGGCAGTACTCTCTGAAAGTGGAGCAGTCCAGGTGGAGAGCAAAGACTTTTCACTGAGCCTCTCACAAGTAATGTTCTGTGTCTGAATGAACACTTTCCATTGTCTGTTGAGCATCCACGCGTCTGTTCCTGATGCTTACTGTAAAAGCCAACATGTTTAGCCCATTCTGTGTCCCTCTTAAAACAAAGTGCTGCAGAGCAAAGCTTTATTAGGTGCTTTATCTCCTTCTCTGGGACTCTCAGTAGCTCTTTTTCTCTGTGGGTTCATATGTCTCTGTGGAAAGATGGGTCCGCATCTTAGTGGACTTAGTGGGACTCTCCGCACTCTGATCCTACCAATCCAGTAAGTGACACCTTAAGTAGGGAGACAGAAGCTCTGTCCAAACTTTTTCTCTTCCCTTTCCCCTTGCCTTTCCCCTTTCCCTTCCCCTCCCCTCCCCTCCCCTTCCCTTCCCTTCCTTTCCCTTCCTTTTGGATTACTCAGAAATGCACTTTCTGGGTCCAGTATTGGACCAAAGGCTGCAACCCAGGCCCATCCTCCCCAGCCCCAGATCTTTCATGAGAAGGAGCTCCCCCCTCAGCGTTACAGACCCAGGCACTAGGAGATCTCCCTATGCATCTTTCTTACCACATTTTCTTCATGGCACACCTGCCCCACAGCACTGGGCACTGATATTCTACCCTTTTGCACAGATCTGACATCTGGGACCCTGTGGGTCAGGTCTCAGCCATTACAGCCTAAGTTCTTCTTCTTTACCCAAAGCCGTTCTCCATTCCCTCAGGCAGGTAGAGCTGCCTCAGAGCAGCTTGCTTCACAGAAACCCCTTCAAGGCCTTGGAGCAGAGAGTAATTTTATTTTCATGGAGGTACAATTCACATACCATAAAATTCACCATTTAAACTACTTAGAAGTGAATAATTTAGATGAGTTTTAGTTTGCAATTTTGCACAACTATTATCACAATCTAATTCCACAACATTTTCAACACCCTGAAATGAAATCCCATATTCATTAATTGATCACTCCCCATTTCCATTGTCTTTTACTCCTCCCTTGGAAATCACGAATCTGCTTTCTGTCTTCATGGATTCACCTATTCTAGACATTTTCTATAAGTGGAATCATACAGTATGTGAAGGTGGATATTTTCAAAAAGAAAAATTTAATAATTTCTAAGGAAGATTATTCATTTTTAGAATGAGAACATTTATTTACAATTTTAAAAGTTTATTTAAAAAGTCAGAAATGACAACAAAAACTCATTAAGAAGAGTCAGCCTGGGTGTTTTCTTGAAAAAACATCCTTCTGATGAGGCTGCTGGTGGAAGTCCCAGAGTTGAGAAAGAGAAGTCATGTGGTTGGCATTGGACTTTTCTTGGTGGGCTTCTCAGGGAGTCTCCTGGTTTCGTAGGAATTCCTTTGGTGGCTGAGCCAAAGTGTCAGTCTCGGCAGCCAAACCTAACTGGGTGGAGGGTACAGGGTGGATGCATCTCTCCACTCTCCCTTTTGTGTCTCTGTAGGGGTGAAGAAGAGAACCAAAGTCATCAAGAACAGTGTGAACCCCGTGTGGAATGAGGTATGCAAGTTTTTCCCTGTCCCTTTCTCTTTCTTTGCTGGCTCTGTCACTGCTGACAAGTTGATGGAGGAGGTGGCTTTTTCAGTGATATCTTCAAGGAGAGGAGGGCTGGTGGCCCACAGTGCCAACTAAAACCTCCTGGTCCTAACGACTTGGGAGGGGGGCTGTAAATGGAGATATTGCCCTGTGGCATGGATATGGTATGGAGAGCAGTAAGATGTCTTTTTTCTTTGTTCCCCCTCCCCGCCATTTGGAGGATGTTGAGGGGCTCCCTTGCCTACCTCACCCCTCTCACACAGACTGTTCTCTCTGCCAAAAGCTCACTTCCCCCCTCCCCATTAACTAGGTCCTCCAGTGGCTCCCACTGGCCTCTGACTCCTCACTCAGCTCTCTGCATATATGGCTCTCATGTGGTCCTCTGGGAGCCCTGGTTACTTTATGGGGACAGATCAGGATGCACAGAGGAGCCTTTACTCTGAGGAGCATTTTGGGACCTCTGATGGGCCCTACCCGATAGGACAGTAACTCACACTGCCCATCAGGGGCCTGGTTTCAGGATGAAGACATTGATCTTGGTCCTTGAGGACCCTACAGGTCACCTGGCATTTTTCCATCTGTAATTTTGACTTAGCTTCCTAGGGAAAGAGTTGGAATTGGCTTGGGAGAGGGGGCCACGAGAGTGTAATCTCACTGCTGTTGCTTTCAATGTTCACTGACAGCTCCAAAGTCTAGAACTCTGGTATTCATTCATTCACCCACCCAGCCCATCCACTCACTCACTCACTCTCGAGAGTCACTCACTTCTTCTCAGTGCCCTGTGGCACAAGGGCAAACCAGACACAGTCTCTTCTCCTGGGGCCACAGGTTAAGATGACATTTTTTCTTTTCTTCCAGGGCTTTGAGTGGGACCTCAAGGGCATCCCTCTGGACCAGGGATCTGAGCTTCATGTGGTGGTCAAAGACCATGAGACGATGGGAAGGAACAGGTGAGGGGTGGATGGTTCTGGGCTTGAAGAAACAGGTAGGCTGTGGTGGATGCAGAATCTGGCCCTAGAGAGCTGGCCTTTTGAGGGTTGCCCCTCCTGAGCCAAGAGGCACAGTTCTGCGTAGATGCTGGGGAGAGACTGTGCCTCAGGAACTCAGTGCAGGTACAGCTGAGAGCTACCCAGGCTCCAGGGCTAGAATCAGATACCTCTGAGTTTGGACAGGCAGCTTGTGCCCCAGGGAGAAGAAGGCACTTGATCTCTTGCTCCAGCCCTGAGGCTCCTGGGGCGGGGCTCCCTGTGGGAACCTGCCCAGTCCAGGCTGATGAGGGCAGCAGCATACTCCAGGAACCAGGCAGGCAGGCAAAGCTGCAGCTAGCCCAGCGCCATTGAAGAAGGCCATGTGAAAGAAGTGGGAATCAAGGTGAGACTTATGATTTTGAAGTCAGGATAGTAATAATGGGTAACACAGCCTGGTAACTCTCTTGTTGGGGTTTCTGCTATTTCATGTACACAGTGGGGAGGGTTTTCAGGTGAGAAGGGGGACTAGCTGGAGCCAAGTCATGGTGGCACAAGCAGGCCCCTTCTAGGTAGGTGATGGATGGCTTCTCTGGCTATTGAGGCCCTGAACCATGTGTGCTGGTGACAGGGATGGGCAAGACCAACCCAGCTTGTAGGCTGACTAGTGGTATTGTTGTGTGTGTGAATAGACTGGGAGATGTGCCTGGTGAACCTGCATAGTGACAAACTCTGTCAGGGTAAGGTGTTCCGTGGTTCCTGATAGGTAGGACAGTGGTCTGCTGTGTTAGGTACAAGCAGGGGTGGGTTTATGTGTCCAGTGCTGTTTACAGACATGTAGGTCCAACAATCAGGTGTGGGCTTGCTGTTTGGGACCCTGCTCATAAGGGAGCTTTTGTTTGGGAACTGGAGCAGCTGATATCTGAGGCTCAGAGGCCTGGCTTGTTTACCCTGAGGGTGGAGGGGAAGAAGGAGGAGCGTTCAAGAACCTGGGCAGGGTCTCAGGCTCCAAAACACCTGGAAAATTTGAAATCTTACATGCTTGGAAGAAAAATTCAACTGCTACCATCTTTCTGTGGCTATGTGGACAGAGGGTGCAGAGTATGGTGTTTCTAGGGATGATGAAGATGTTTTCACTGGACCCTCTGAAGGAGGGGCTGCAAGGTTTGGGTCCCAGGCCTGCTGCTTGGGCCTCCTCTGCCTGGGGCCTCTTGGGCCTATCTCATTCATCTGTGGAGCCCAGCAGCACCCCCTGCACAGGGTTTGGGGGTTGGAATCAGTTCAAGCTGAGCTACCTTCCCATGCAGATGCATTGTGGAAGGCCAGACAGTGTCTTTTAGCCAGAATGGTGGACCAGCAGATCAGGGAGGGAGCAACTCTGGACACTTGGGAGTCCTGGAAGGTTTCCTGGAGGAGGCCAGTCACTCTGACTGATGGTGGGCAAGGGTAGGCTCTGCAGAGCTACAAGTGGAAGGGTGCTGGGCTCAGGTCTTGCTGGGGGACTCAGTCTCATGAGCAGCGGGGCCAGATTGGGAGGGGGTACTCAATGTCAGGTTGCTATTAACAGCAAAACCCACAGCTGATGCTTACAGAAAGCGGAGCCCAGTGCCTGTTCCTGTGCTGAGCCTCATATACAAGATCTTTTTGCATGGGTTGGGTGCTCCTGTACAATTGTCATCATTACAGATGGGGAAACTGAGGCTCTGGAGATTGCAGAATTCTCTCAAAGGCTTGTGATGGTGGAACAATGATTGAAGGGCCGGTCTTTGTGACATACTCATGGTCCCTGAGACCCTGCTCCTCTCAAGAGACTCTGGGAAACCCCGAACAGTTGCTGGGTTCTTCTTGAGAGTTCGATTCCCCTGCTGTTGCTGGAGTTGAGAGAGTTGAGTGAGGGAGAGGTGGACAATCTGGTTACTTCAGGGCACATGGAGGAAATTCATGTTTCACTTTCTTTATCATACTCAGCATTTTTACAGGCCTCGTGGAGAGTTTCTGAGAACACAAAGGCAGCAGAAAAGAAGGGGCTATAAACATATTTTGATTTTGACCCTGACTACTGCCTGTACTAGAGTAGCCTGGGGCCACACACAGGCTGTTCTGGCTGTGTGGGTCATATGTCACATGGAGGAGGATGGGTGCACGGAGCCTTGGGACCCTCTCATTGGGTGTCCTTTAGCTCCTGGCGGCAGCCAGCTTCCTGAAAACCAGTTCCCCACATGATCAGGTCACTGCAGGCCGGTTTGCTAGAAATCAGTTTCTCAACTGTCAATTTGCAGAATGGTTAATTTACTAAGCAATTTACCAGAACCTCTTTTCCTATAACTACTTGGATGTTTTTGATTTTTCCAAACATTTATCTAAATTTTGCATTTTTAGCTATTAAGATTGTAACTAAACTAAGTTGAATGCAAACTTACATTCATAAATATGCAAAGAAAATCAGAGGCTGCCAAAACTACACTGCCCTGAGAGGAAATGATGGGAACACATGGGCTCTTCCACCTTGACAGCAGTTTGCTTGAATGCTGGGTGGCTAGAGTGACCTATCTGGAGCAGAGGGAAGCACAGGGCCCTGCAAGGGGATTCTGTGAATGCCCCCAAGATTAGACCAGATAATAGGTTCACTCTTCTCAAAAGTGGAAAGGAATCAAAGCAAGCCTAAAAGCAGAAAATTGTAAGATTGTGAAAATAATAACTACACCAGGAAGTAACAAGAGCAGTCATTTGACAGTTTAGATTTTTTTTTTGGTACCAGGGATCGAACTCAGGACCTTGCGCTTGCCCGGCAGGCGTGGCGCCACTTAGCTAAATCCCCATCCTGACAGTTTGGATTTTGAAAGAAAGAGAAGTTGAATGAATTCAGCTCAATGAACATTTTGCTGCTGTCACCAACTCAGTCCCCTATGTGGTTTCAGTGAGGTTGCAGTGGGTCTTCCTGCAGCCACCGCCTTCATTTCTGGGGTTTCTGGGCCTGTCTTCTGTGAGCTCACTGAGTGTACTCCTTGGGCCCTTTCCAGAGCCGGGGGCACAAGTTCTTCCACCCTATCTCCTTCTGTCCAACCTCTGCTCCCTCTTCCAGATCTCCATCTTCTGCTTTTTCCATCTGCATCTAGAATTTCCCTCATCTCCCTCATTTTTTTTGTTTGGTACTGGGGATCGAACTCAGGACCTTGCACTTGTGAGGCAGTTGCGGTGCCACTGAGCTAAATCCCTGGCCCAAGGCCTCCCTCATTTTGTGTAGTGTCTCTCTGTACCTCTGTCCACAAGTCTTTTGCTTTGCTCCTTTTCTTTCTTGACTCCATCCTCTTTTAGTTCATTCTTTCCTTTGTCTCTTCTCCCTCCACTGTCCCTGTCCTCTCCTCTCCCTTTGGCTTCTGGTTTATTTGTCACTCTGTGTTTTTCCTAATTACCACTGGAAGCTTTTGGATGTTTTCATTAGACCAGACTGGTGTGCTGGCCCTCAGTGGGACCTCAGGAAGCCATCCATCCATCCATCCATCCATTCATCCATCCATCCATCCGTGTCTCCAGTTTGGGACCTCTATCTGGGAACTGCCTTGGGGATACTCAGCACCCCACCTACCCACCCACATACCCATGAGTGGGGACCCCTAAGCCCGAGGGGCCCCAGAGCCAATTTCAGAGGATGGATTAGTTTTGTATGGACAAAATTAAGTTTCAAATGCCTGTAAAAGAAAGCTTTGGTTCGAGACATGGAAGACGCTCAGGCCAACCCAGCTACAGAACCTGGAATCCTGTCCTAGGCTTCACTGGACATCTTCCTTTTTACTATAGGCTGCTCAGAAGGGAGGTGGAGGGGAGGGAGGTGACCCTGGTCGCTGCCCAGGTCTTTGGCCCCAGGATGTTCAGCCCAGACGTGCTGGTTTCGCTGTTTTGGGGTGAGTGGCCAGCTTCATCTGCTCCCCAGGTTGAGTGTTTCCACTATGCAGCTGGGCTGAGAGCTCCTGATCTGGACTCCAGACTAGGCTGCCCCATAGAACTTTCTGAGATGATAGAAATCCGGTGTCTGAGTGGGCGAGAGTGATTGAGGAGCCCAATCTTAGTTTTTATTTAATTTCAGTGACTTAAATTTAAATAACTCCCTGCAGTTACTGGCTACTGTATTGGACAGGGCATCTCTAGCTTTTAAGAACAGCGTTCTGATTCTGGCTGCCTCTTAAAATGATGTGGGAGTTTAAAAAAAAATAACAGTGTCTAAGCTCCACACCAGATGAATTAAACAAGAAATCCTTGCAGGTATCAGTGCTTGCAGGTATCAGTGCTTTTGGAGACTGTTCAGAGTGTGGAAGGTGCACTCCAGGTGGAGAACTCAGTATTCTTATAGCAATTCAGCCTTGGGCAAGGGAACTACTCTCAGTTTTTCCATGGATTCACTAAGGATTAAATATAAACGGTCACTCTTGTACTTGTTTAGATATGTAACTATCAGTGAAATAATCACCACGAAGTGATAAAAATAAATAAAACAATAAGTACTAAATCAAATAAACTGACTAAAATAAATAATACTAAATTATTTAATAAAGTAAAAATATTATGAATTTTAAAAATAAACTGAAACTGCATATAGTAAAATTGTTTAAGAAATGAAAAACAAAAAGTACTACTTGATAAAACTTAATGTGGGAAAAAAACCCCAAAACCAAAAGTACTAAACCGAAATCAGTGTTGAGGTTTTGTTTTGTTTTGTTTTGTTTTGTGGTACTGGGAGTGGCTTGAACCCAGGTTTTGACACTGGGCTACATTTCCCAGGCCTTTTTATTTTTTATTTTGAGCCAGGGTCTTGCCAAGTTGCTAAGTTGCCCAGGCAGGACTCTAACCTGTGGTCGCCTTGCCTCAGCCTTCTGAGTGCTGGGATTATACAGGCATGCATAATGCCATTGCATCCAAGGTGTAACAGGAAATTTAAACAGAAAATAATTGTTCCCTGTGAAAATAACTTTGATAAAATGAAGACAGTA